GCGTGACCTGGGCAAGTGCCGGCCCCTCACACACTGGGGGACCTCGAAGGCTGCCGTGAGGACGAAATGAAACAATGTTGGCAAAGCCTCGTGTCCCCAGGGGGCTCACTAAGTAGTAGTTGTGTTCAGGTCGTCAGATGATGAAGTCATAGAGGTGGGAGGACCTCTGGACCATTTGGGGAAATGGAGACACATAGACAATGAAGCTGCCCAGGGTCACACAACCAGGTGGCTCTTGAGCCAGGTTTTCTGTCCTAACCCAGCAATAGGATTCTTCTCTCTGCCCCACCCTGTCTTTCTGTGTTGGAGGGTAAATTGGGGCTGTTGGGCAGTGCCCAGCCTGTGCTCTGCTCACTGAGCCTCGTGCCCTGGCACAGGCCTGCTTGGGCCCGGGAAAAGAGGAGCCCTTTCTCTGCACTAAAACACGGTGGGACTGTGCCGGCTCAGAGTAGGGCACCTTCCCGTTCGTATACAAATGCCCTTTACGTGGCAGTCTGGCTTGCAGGGTCAGTAAGGCAACACCAAAGCAGCCCCACCTTCTCAAGACCTTTCATCTTCCTCCAGGCCTTTGTTCCTTGCATCTCTGAATCCCATCCTGGGAGTCCTGGCTACCTGGGCCCCTCCTCCAGGAAGCCCTCCCTGATGTCCTCAGTGGATTAGTCTCTCCTCCACCATGCTCCTTGTTTCCGTTTCGGGGTTCTCTTTCTCTTCTCTCCTCTTTCCTCTTTCAGCCTTTTTCTCTGTCTCTGACTTCCCCATCCTTGCCTCTTTCTATCTTTTACTCTCTGTCTAGGTGTCTTTCCTTTGCCTTCTCTCCCACCATTGTCTGTGTCGCTGTATGTCTCTCATTGCCTGGGCCTGGGCCCCCTCTCCTCCTCTCCACTGTCTTTTCCGTCCTGGAGCTCCTTGTGTCCCTGTGAGTATCTCTGTCCCCTCCCTGCCTCTCTGTGTGCCTCCCCCACTGTCTGTGGCTCTGTGGGCCCCATCCCTCACTGTTCTCCTTCTCTCCCCTTTTTTCCTCATTCACGTGGCCTCTGCAGATGAAATGGAACGTGCCTTCCTGCAGAGAGCTGGCCAGAGCACAGCTGTCAGTGCTGGCAGGAGCCACTGAGCAGTGGCCAGGAGACCCGGGAGCCTGGGCAAGCCATGCAGGCTAACCCCCAACACCGGGGCCCCCTTTGGAAACTGTCCACACCTTCCTGCAGGTTCCAGGGTGGGTGTGGCGCTGGTCTCAGGACTTCTGGTCTTGGAGGCAAGCCTAGGCCCTGTCTGCCAGCCCCTGGGGACAACATGCACTGGGCCCTGACTCAGAGGCAGGTTCAGGAGCCAAGCTCTTGGGATTGGTGGAATCTGCATGAACAACACCAAAGGGCCGGCCCAGGCTACAAGCAGAGGGGAGCATGAGCTCAGGCCTCCTGGGGATTGGATGAGATCATGGAAAGGATATGGAGTAGCAGTTTTTGTCACTCATTCATTCAACAATCATGAAGCCGCCACTGTGGGCCAGACTTGGGCTCAGCCCTGGGTCAAAGATGAATCAGGTATGTCCCCTGTCCTTGCACAGTCTCCCATCCAGAAGCTTGTTGGGAACATGCTCTGACAGAGGCAGCTCTGGGTATGGGAAGAGCATCCCAGCTGCAGCGAGGATGGTGGCCTGGCAGGGACAAGGGCAAGTGGTGTGGGCAGTGATTTCAGTCCAGCATGGTTAGGCGGTAAAATCAGGGGGATTCTGATGACTGAATGGATGGGGATGAGGAGGAAGAGAAAGGAGTCAAGCCAGGGCCCATCTGAGTGTGTTGGCTCTGGGGGATGTTAGGTGCAGATTCCAGCAGGCCATTGGACAGATGGGTCTGAGCGGGGGCTGCAGTTCCAGAGGTCAGCACTGCCTGGTAACTGAAACCATATGGTGGATGATTTGTCCACAAACTGTGCGTAAGTGAAAAGAAAAGAGGTCCATGGACAGGGTACCCAAGGTCCCCACATATATTGGACAGGAGAAAGAGGACCCCCACTAAGAGGACAGACAGGGAGCAGTGAGAGGAGCATGGACCAGGGCGGAACGGAGTCGTGTGGTCCTGTGAAACCAAGTCCCAAAGAGGGGGTGGGATGGGGTGGCAGGAGTGCATGGCTTGCATGGTATGGTCCTGGGGCACAGCCTGCATGGGAAGGGCACCTCCTGAGCTGTGCAAGGAGCAGCCTCATGCCCGGCCAGCATGGCTCAGTGGTTGAGCGTCAACCTATGATCCAGGAGGTCAGGGTTCGATTCCAGGTCAGGGCACATGCCTGGGTTGCGGGCTCGATCCCCAGTGTGGAGCATGCAGCAGGCAGCCGGTCAATGATTCTTTTTTTTTTTTTTAAAGAAATATTTCTATTTAATTTGCCAAGTTTACGTATGTCAAGTTGTTGGTATTTCTTTCTCTTTTTTTTAATTTCTTTATTGGTTAAGGTATTACAAATGTGTCCTCATCCCCCCGGTCAGTGATTCTTGATGTTTCTTTCTCTCCCTCTCCCTTCCTCTCTGAAATCAATAAAAATTGTTACCAAAAAAAAAAAAAAAAGAGCAGCCTCGTGCAGGGGAGGGACAAGAGGGAGGAGGTGAGGGTGAAGGTGGCGTACAGACGGAGGGCATGGCAATTTGAAAACATCTGTTCTGATTGCTTCCAACTCCTCCAAGTATCTCTAGTCTTCTATTTGGGGTCTTAAGCCGCATAACTAGGGCCTGAAACCGCTGCGGTGGAGGGAATAGATGCACCGACTGGACGCTGAAAAGTTACCGGAAATGCCCCGAGTCCAGCGGGCATCCTGTAAGGCCTGGCCCCTGCTAGTGCCCCTGTGCCAGCCCCAGGGATACTGCTTCAGGAGCAGCCGCAAGGCCCTCAGTGAAGACTCACGCTGCTCCTGTGCAGCCCGAGGCGGCTGTTTTCCCTGGTGGCGCTGAAATCCTCTGGGTGGACCGCTGTTGGGCCTGGAAACCTGGTCTTCAAACGGGTCTCCATGGAGGCCGGGAAGGGATTGGCTTTGCTGCCAAGTGTGGATTCCAAAAGCTGCTGGCAAGGAGTTCCTGCAGCCGATGCCCCAGAGGCTGCACACCTGAGGGACAAGCAAGAGTGGGGATGAGTCTGTGGCCTCAGCCAGGGCCCAGCCCAGCCCATCCACTGGGAGTGCACGCTGGGCTCCTCAGAAGGGCATTCCCGCCTCTGCCTTATTCGGGCTTTAGAGCTGCCCAGGTGGCCAGAGGAAGCTGTGGCCAGAGGGAGACGTGCCTATGTGACCGTCAGGAAGACAGGCTGGGCACAGAGAAGCCACTTGCTCAGGATTAGAGTGGAGACTCGCAGCCTTAGCAGGAACCTGGGTCCTCTGTCCTCAACAGCACTGGGTCGGGACCCGAGCCTGGGAGGGCCTGTCGTACCTGCTTTGTCCATGTGTCTTCTGCAGCTGGCTCCCCAGAAGTGCCTCACTTACCTCTTTGTCTGTACACATGCCATTCCCCTTACCTGGACAGCCTTTCTTCGGTGCCACCCACTCCCATCCTCACCTAGCTAACTCTTATCCCATCCTTCAGCCAGCAATGCCACCTCCAGGAAGTCTGCCCTGATCCCAGGTTGGATCAGATGCCTCCTGTGAGCTTCCTTCAGCATAGTGTTGGTGCGTGGATCGAAAGAGCCTCATTCTTGAGACTATGGGTGCCGGGAACAGGCCCCTACCTGTGCACACTGTCCAGCTCTAGGTATGCTCTTGCTCTGGGTTTGTCAGCTGGATGGATGGAGAAAGGGAGGAAAAAGGGAACGAGGGAGGGAGGGAGAACACATTTTCATAAAGGTCTCTGGAGTCAAAGCCTTCCTCACAGAATCTGAGAGCTGGGGAGGCCATAGGTATCATGCAGCCCAGTCCCTGTACATGGAGAGAAAGGGGGCATCCCAGCCTCATGGGTTTGCTCAAGGTCTCAGGGTGAGTGTAGGGGGTCCCAGCCCAGTGATCTTAGGCAGTGGCCCGGAGGTGGGTTTCAGGGACTGTGGCAGGCTGGCAAGAGAGAGTGCTGGGTGGGGAAATCGCTGGCGAGTGTAGGGCCAGCCAGTGAAGGACTACGGGCTCACTCACCCTCTACTCCAGCCACGGTGCAGCCCCAGCCTGGCTTCCTCCTGTGTGCTGGAGTCTCTCCTTTCCCCAACAGCCTGTCCACCCTCTGTGCTCAGCCCTCCCTGGGGCTGTCATCATGCTGACCTTCCGGCTTCCCACCTGTCACCACCCGTCACAGGCAATTACCGTAACCGTGCAGGGATTTCCCCCAGGCTCCGGGATGAATGGCGAGCAGAAGGGAGCTGCCTGTGGGCACATAGGTGGGGGTGCCAGGGGCCACCACCACTCTGCCCACACTGACCAGGTTGGGGAGACTGAAGCCCAGGGAGCAAGAGGGGCTCAACAGGGTGCAAACTTCCAGCAGCCACTGTCTCCACAGTCCCTCGGCCTCCCGAGAGTCCTCTCTAACCTTCCTAACTGGAACCTCACTGTGTTCTCAGACCTCAGGCCTGCGTCCCACCGAAGGAGGGTGGTGTCGGCTCAGCTGGGCTGTGGGTTATGTGATTTAGACCTGTCTTCTCAGCATCTAGCACAGGCTGCCCCCGGAGCAAGTGCCTCATAAATGTACCCTCACCACCACCACCAATGGAGTGCTGTAGGTTGCCCCTACCTGCACAGTCCGGGCTGGGTCAGCTTCATGGTATGAGGCACAGCGATGCCACGGGACACACTGAGCCTTCACTGCGTGCCAGCACTGTTCCTGCGGTCCTCACAGCCACTCTGGAGGTTGCTATCACAATCATGCCCACTTTACAGAGGCGGGGACTGAGGCACAGGAAGGTACAACCAGAGCCAGGATTTGGATCCAGGCAGGGTGGCACCAGGACCTCTTCCCAACATGCCGTACTGCTCTGGGCCTCAGCTTCGGTGTAAGTCACTGGTGTCTTGGCATACAGCTGAGCCACTTGTCTCTTGTGTTCCAGGTCACTTTCTGGGGAACAACACAGTCATTGACGTCCTCCGACAGGCGGGGCTGGAGGTGGAGCACACACCCGCAGGGCAGACCATCCACAGGTGAGCAGCGGGATATCTGCACCGTGGGGCTGGCTGGCTTACTGCTGGTGGTCCATGGGCCAGGACTGACGGTGGGCTACATGGCGGGCTGCTCCCTGCCTCCCTGTTCAGGCCTGGGCGAGGGTTGTGAAGAAGCCTCCGGTGAGATGGGGCCTTGTAGGCACTGGCCTTGACCAGGCACCTAAGAGAGGAGAAGCTAGGCTGGAGGTGGGGAGACTGGACAGGAGGCTGGAGCACAGCCTTGGCTGGAGGGAAGAGTGGCGGGCCTGGCAGAGGTGGTGGGAATGGGAGGAGGGTTAAATTTTGAGAGTTGTTCAGGATTTGGAGACTGGTGATCAGGTGGGACAGAAGGGCTCTGTCGGATGCCTGGGTGGCTGCCTAGAGGACTTGGGGAATGCTGGGGCTCTGAACTGAGATGGGGCCACAGTCAGGGTGAGCAGTGGCTTAGCCTCTTTCCTGTGTCCCAGCCATACTTTTCCCAGTGCTGCCTCTTGGCTGTGCCCATTGCCTCGACTGTCCTGCTAGAGCACACCAATCCACTCACAGAGCCACATAATGGCATCCTCTCTTCCTGTGGGGGGTCCCTCCCAGGAGCTGCCCGAAGGCAGGGGTCAGCTGGGTCCCTGTGTGGCCCCTAGTGCCAGCACCAGGCATGGAACCACATAGGTGTCTGCATGCTGGGCAGCTCCGGCGTCAATCACAGGATCCTCGAACTCAGGGGTCCCATGCAGCCCATGTTCCGCCCAACCTTCATGAAAGAACCCTCCTCACCAGCCCACAAGGGTGACCATAGTGTGATTTGGGCCCTTGTCCGTGACGTTACAAGACCCAGAGTCCGAAAGAAGCCTGAACGGTCGTAGTTAATATTTGCAGTAGCTCACTGTGTACCGGGCTCTAAGCACTCCTAACTCACTGAACCCTCATGACTGTCATGTGTGGTAGAAACTCTGAGTATCCTCATCTTAAAATTGAGGAACCTGAGGCCCAGAGAGGTGAAGTCACCTGCAGAAGGGCACACAGCTCCTGTAAATGGCCTCCCTAGGGCCTCCCTAAGCCCCTAACCATCTCCTGTGTCCGATCTGGGAGTTACGGTGGACTGCACACTTTCTGGGCTCCTTCCTCTTCTCATCTTCTGAGCCAGGCTGACAAGACTGTTCTTCCTGAACAGCTAAGCACAATACAGTCAGATGGTCCTAGGCCTGGGCCAGCCTGTGTTTGAGGAGCAAGGACAAGGGAGCCTTGGGGACAAAGTATTCTTCAAGCTCCCCCTTCCCCTTGAAGCTCATTGTATCTGAGGTCAGGGTAGGGATGGGTGGAGGAGGGGGCAGGCTGGAGAGGCTGCCTCAGCCCCTATTCATCTAGATCCCAGGCATTAGAGGAGGGTCCCCTTCTCCCCTCCCCACTCCCACTCCCCACCCCAGACCCAGCTCCGGGGGCTCTCAGCCTGGGTCTCTGCGTGCAGACTGAAACCCTGCGGGTGGGGTGAAGGAGCAGGGCTGCTGTGGAGGCCCCGACAATAAAAGCCATCTTCGGCCACAGGTGCTTCCTGGATCCATCCTTTTGTCTGCCTGTTTTGAATTATCTCCCCAGCATCTGCGGCATCTCCTGGACCCTGGGAATCTGGAGTTGCCGTGGGGGCTGGGGGTGGACAGGCGGAGCTGATGGCCTTCTCTCCCTCACCCACTGTGCACACGGGAGTGCAGTGAGGGTGCAGGCTGCTCGCCGCCCTGGGTGCCACCTAACCTTTGCAGTTCCCGAGACCGTGGCCAGCCTTCTCCCAGAGACAGGTGGCCCCTTGGAATTATCTTTGGGCCCCAGACAGGAGAGAATAAAAGCAGAGGTGCAGAGGATGTGCCCAGGCTAAGGGGTGTCCGTGTGCACCTCTGTAGGGAATGTGAATCACACACACCCAGGTGGATGCGTTCGCGCCCCCTACAGCCAGGCTCATTTGCTTCTGCCCATTCCTAGAAAACTGCAATATATATTAAATCGCTAAATGAAAGAATGAGTCAAAGCTCCGTCTCTCAGCCCCAGACACTGGTTGTCCTGGGTTATCCTCACCAGGCCCAGGAGGGGCATGCTAGCATCTTCTCTTGCCACAACAGCTCTCCCGTTGATTTGCATCCCCTGTCACACGTGAATGACATGCTGCAACATGTGAGCTTCATGAGCTGTCGCCCTTTCCAGCCCTGCCGCCAGGAGCCCTGCACCCCCATCCGAGAGGACCTCAGCGAGCCCGGCCCCCGTGACCCCTCCTGCTGCCGTCCCCGCAGCACCCTCGGTGACCCCCACCGCCCCGCCTGAGGAGGAGGACCCAGCCCTATCCCCACACCTCCTGCTCCCCGACAGCCTCAGCCAGCTGGAGGAGTTTGGGCGGCAGAACAAGTGGCACAAGAGGCAGAATAAGCAGCAGCGGCCGCGGCAGTTCAATGACCTCTGGGTCCGCATCGAGGACAGGTGAGCTGGGGAGGGGCAGGTCTGCCGGGAGCTGGGCATCTCTCTGGGCAGCCTCAGGCCCTTCGGAGCCAGGCACACTGTCATCCACAAGCCCTGCTTGGGAAGCCTGGCAGGGGCGTGCCCAGCAGAAACCTTAGGGCTGGCTTGTCCCCATTCCCAAAGGACCCTCCTGTTCATCTTTCAGGCTTATAGAGCACACTCATATCTCATTTTTCATTTTTATTCTTAGAATGAGAGCAAGTGTAATTTTCGTCATTTTAAAGGTGAGGGACTAGAAGCTTCCTTCAAGTGTCATGGGCAAAAGTCTGCTTTGCCCTTGATTGCCTGGGATGCACCTGGGGTGCAGAGCGGGCTCCATGGGAGCCAGGAGAAAATGGAACAGGCTGGCTACAGCAAAGGCCGTGAGCTCCCTGTGTCCGGAGGGCTCAGTGGCAGGGAGGCTGCAAGAGAGAGATGGCAGAGGATGCCTGGCTCCCTGAGGCTGCGAACTCTCTCTCAGCAGGGGTTGGGGAGTTCATGATAAACCTTGTTAAAAATGGGCAGGTGCAGAAATCCCCCTACTGTACTGATACCTCCCTGTCCTCTGCCTGTGTGCCCCTCCCACCACCCTGCACCATATCTGCCTGGCTGTCACCGAAGCTCCTTCTGTCTTCCCGCCTCCTTCTGCAGGCTCGGTATAGCGCAGTCTCCTTAGATTCCACTTTGGGGCAAGAATCTTCATATTTGGTGCACAGCATCCCCGAGGCACCCGGGATGTCCCAGGGAGTAACCATTAGTGACAGGCAGAGACCTTCTCTCTCTGGGAGCCGTGCCCTGGGCATCGTGCCTCCACAGTGGGCCCTCGGAGACTAGGAGTCTCCCTGTGGACCTCCTCAGAGTCCCCAGAAAGAATCACCCTGGGCCCTTGTTAAACAAATTCCAGGTCCCACTGCAGACCCCCTGTGTCAGCACGTGCAGGGGCCCGGAGAGCCGCGTGTTGAATGTGCACTGGAGATTCTTCCGAGCCGCTTTGGAAAATGCAGACCCAACTCTGCATTTACAGATGTTGAACCAAGGCCCGGGGCGGGGGGCTTGTCGGGGTCACCCAGAAATCGGGAGCTGCCTGCTGCGCAATTCAGGCATGGTCTTCCTGCAGCCAGGTCTGAGTCATCGACATGCAGTTGACATAGTCCAGTCCACTCTCTTAAAGTGCGGGGTGTGCACGATCTTGAAGAGACTTCCAGCAAACAAGAGTCGAGTCCATTGTTCCCTCGGCTGTGCGTTGGCTTCAAGCGCCTGACTTGGGTTCCTGGGAAATGTACTCTGCAGAGCCCTCGCCAGCCCGGCCTGCCTGGGCAGAGGCGCTGCTGCAGCTGTATTGGCTGCCACCCATTCGGCTCACGTGCCCAGCATGGGCCCTGCACGGCCACCCCCTTCAGACCTGGAGCGAGGGCATGGGGTTGCTGAGCTGCTTCTGCAGCCTGGGCAGGGCCACAGGCTGCTGCCCGGGAGGCCCGGCAGCCCCTAAAGTGCTTTGATCCAGGGGGTCCCTCAGCCCTGATCAACCTGCCCAGTGACCAGGAGCCCCGGCTAGTGGCAGGTCCAGCCCACGAGGTGACAGGAGGCTGGGCGGTCAGCTCCAGCATGAGACTCCCAGCCCCTAACCATGTCTGAAAGGTAAATTTGGGCAAATGACTCCAAAACAGTTTCCTTTTCACAACACGTAGCTCTGAAACACAGAGCCTGGTTTCAGGAGAAGAAAACAGCTTTTCTTTGGAAAGAGGGACCGGGAAGGCAACAGGGAAACTACGGTTGGGTAACTTTCTCCCATCTGGTTGGGTTGGAGAAAGAGGTTTCCGCCGACAGGCAGCCTGTTTGTTGAAAGTTTCCCTGCTTCTTAGGGAGCAGGCCTGGGCTCCAGGGCGGCCTGGGGCAGGCACAGCTTCTGTGGCTCTCTGGTCTCAGTCCTCTTCAGGTTCCCCAGTTCTCCAAGAGGGGGCTGAGGAGAGCTCTCTGGGGAGACTAGGGCCCATTTATAGACCTTCTAACCGAATTATTTTCTTTGGGGCTTTAATTCCATTCAGTTTTCTCATTTTCTCCCCCCTAAATCCCACTAGAGCCATCCCCTTCTCCTCATCCTCTCCTGTCATCCCCTCCTCCCTATCCCCTCCTCTCATCCCCTCCTCCCATCCCCTTCTCCCCATCCTCTCCTGTCATCCCCTCCTCCCTATCCCCTCCTCCCATCCCCTCCTTTCCATCCGCTCCTCCCATCCTCTCCTTTCTTTCCATCCGCTCCTCCCCACCCCCTCCTCCCCATCCGCTCCCCTCCACCCCCTCCTCCCCATCCCCTTCTCCCCATCACCTCCTCCCATCCCCTCCTCCTCATCCCCTCCTTTCTATTCCCTCCTTTCTTATTCCCTCCCCTCCACCCCCTCCTCTTCACCTCTCCACTCTACCCCTTCCCATCCACACTCTCTGCTCCACCCCTCCTCTCCATCCCCTCCTCTCTGTCCCCTCTCTCCAGCTCACCTTCCACCAGGGATCCTGCAGCAGGATCCTAACAGGCCTCCTGGTCCTAGCACATCGCTGCTCCTCAGCCTCAGATCCCTTGTAGCTCCCACCACCAGGTTAACTTCCTACAATTCTGCCCAGATGCAGTGCCTGTCATCCCTTTCCTGCTTACCCACTGCCCCTCCTCCCAAGGGATAGAAGGTCCTGTCCTTGCCAGGCTTTGGGTTGCCTCTCAATAGACTGTGCCAAGACCCCAGCCCCGCCTTTGTACTCGCCTCTCTCTCAGCTGGGGTGGGTGCCCGTGGACATTTGTGAGCTCCTGCTCTGTGCCAGGCACTTACATTCACCATGTCCCTCAGTCCTATCAGGAGCCCTTCTTTGACGAATAAGAAAACTGAGGCTCAGCGATGTCAGGTAACGTGCCCAAGACCACCCAGCCAGTCAGGTGTGGGGTCAGAACCCACACGCCAGTCTGTCTAATGCTAAGGGTCACAGTCATTCACCCACCATGAAGACGCCCCTGCCACCCTCACCTGGGGAGCGTCTCCCCATCCTCACCGAAGTCTCCCTTCCTGCCCCAGCTTCCCCTGCTGCCCCCTCCCCTGCTTTCCTGCAGCGCCTGTGGGTGTCCAGTCCTCAAGTAGTCGCACAGACTGCAATTTCTGGATTATGTTTCTAGGCTGGGAGCCCCGGGGGGCCAGATCTGGGTTGGACTCTGTGGGTCCCTGGAGGCCTCGCTGAGGGTGTGTTGAGGGAGAGGAGGGCGAGAGCCAGGGTAGGGGCTGCAAGCGGCTGGGCAGGATACCACCTGGAGCAGGCTGGCCTCCTCCTGCCCCTCATTACCCGAGATGTAAACACACGGGAGGAAGTTTAGAGAAGCAGCAGCCCGTGGCAGGATGATTTATGGGGACCCGCGGAAAGGGCCGGGCCTGTGTCCGCAGATGGCTGCACACGGGCGGCAGAGGGCTCCACATCTGAGAGCCGGGCAGGGCAGCAGGGCAGGCCGTCCCATGCTGGCCTTGAGCAGAGCACCGCCCAATGGGCTAGGACCTGTGGCAGTTTCTCCTTCTGTGCTGTTAGGGCCTTCACTGGTCTTTGAAGGCCATGCCAGCTCTGTGGTTCTCTGAATTCACAGGGTGTGTGTGTGTAGGGGGTGGGGGGCAGGGGGGATGGAGGTTTGCATGAACAAGGACCAGGGTGCTGGGCCACCAGGATTTGAAGGACAGTCATAAGGGGGCAGGTGCTACAAGAGCTGGGCATGACCTGAAGCAAGAGGAGGGCATCAGTATGTGATGGACACAGAGCATTGTGGGTGCCACCATGTAGAGGCAGGGGGTGCAGGATAGGGGTCATTGCCTTCTGGCCCTCAGCTTCCCCTGAAGTTTGAACTGAGGACCAGAGCTCCAGCCCCTGGGCTCCGGGCGGGCTCTGTGCCCCTCCTGCTGGCCAGCCCTTCCTGCCTGAAACCCTCCAGCTTCGCTTTCTCCCAGCACAGCCCGGCCCTCTCCCTGGGCAGGGTGGTCGGCTGGAGGCCAGGAACCTGGCTGATTAGAGGTAGAAGATGCCCCTGAGAAATGGGAAGCAGCTCCCTCAGTGAGGAAAAGCACAAATTCAGGTAGAACAGGATTCTAAACCCTGCACCTCATACTTGCTTTGAGGCTTAGAGAGTCAACGAAATGGTGCTTGTAAAGTGGTACCAGTGTCTCCAGTGTTGGTGGCCAGCGGTGAGCCTTTGACTCTCAGTGTCTGGTCTAAGTTGCCCCCTCACAGCAGGAGCTGCTCACAGGCCTTCAGCACCTCGAAGACTCACAGCCTTAAATGAGCCACTGGGCTGGCGCTGCACAGTATCTGCCCTCCACCCTTCATTGGCCTCATACGGATGCCCAGCCCTGTGTGAAGTGCTGGTGGGACCAGACTAGGAAGAGGCTCAGGCCATGGCTGGGCAGGGACAACTCCCCACTATGTTGCAACTGAAAGAGCCCAAAAGCCACAGTCCATCCGCCTGTGCTGCCTGTGAAGGGAATCGGTCACTGAGGGCTGGAGGGTCAGGGCTCTGAGGGTCAGAGGTGACCCTGGAGTCTGAGGGGAGGTGAAGGGACTTCCTACCGAAAACCACATGGCCAAAGGGGTGGAGGCTGCCGTGGACCTGAGATGCCAGGATGCTGAGCCGCAGGCAAACCCAACATTTTTCTTTAACTTTTCAATTACAGTTGACATTCAATGTTACTTCATATTAGTTTCAGGTGTGCCACATAGTGGTTAGACAATTATGTAATTTACAAAGTGATCCCTCAATAATTCCAGTACCCACCTGGCACCATACATAGTTATTACAATATTATTGACTATATTCCCTAGGCTGTACTCTGCACCCCCTTGACTAGTCTGTAACTACCAATTAGTACTTCTTAATCCCTTCACCTTTTTCACCCAGCCCACCTCCCATCTGGCACCCTTCCGTTCGTTCTCTGTATCTATGAGTCTGTTTCTGTTTTGTTTGTTCATTTATTTTGTTCTTTAGCTTCCACATATCAGTGAAATCAGATGGTATTTGTCTTTCTCCGCCTGACTTATTCACTTATCGCAATACCCTCTAGGTCCATCCATGTTGTTGTAAATGGTAAAACTGCGTTCCTTTTTACAGCCGAGTAATATTCCATTTTATATATGTGCTACCTCTTCTTTATCCGCTTGGGTTGCTTCCACATCTTGGCTATTGTAAATAATGCTGCAATGAACACCGGGGTGCCTGATTTTAGAACTAGTGTTTTGGATTTCTTCAAATATCCAGAATTGGAATTGCTGGATCATAAGGTGGTTCTATTTTTAATATTTTAAGGAACCTCCATACTGTTTTTCATAGTGGCTGCACCAGTCTGCATTCCCACCAACAGTGCACAAGAGTTCTGTTTTCTCACATCCTCACCAGCACTTGTTGTTTGTTGACTTATTGATGATAGCCATTCTGACAGGTGTAAGGTGATCTATCATGTGGTTTTCATTTTTATTTCTCTGACCATTGGTGACATTGAGCATCTTTTCATATATCTATTGGCCATCTGCATGTTCTCTTTGGAGAAGTGTCTATTAGGTCCTTTGCCCATTTTTTAATTGGATTGTTTAATTTTTTTGGTGTCGAGTTATGTAAGTTCTTTATAAATTTTAGATATTAACCTCTTATCAGATGTATCATTGGCAAATATATTCTCCCATTCAGTGGGTTGCTTTTCATTTTATTGTTTCCTTTGCTGTGTAAAACCTTTTTAGTTTGATGTAGTCCCATTTGTTTGTTCTTTCTTTTGTTTCCCTTGCCTGAGGAGATATGTCAGAAAAAAATATGACTATGAGAAAGGTCAGAGAGTTTACTGCCCAGGTTTTCTCCTAGGAGTTTTATAGTCACTTACGTCTCTGCCTGTGTCTAGCGCGCTTGGCCCAGAGAGGCCAGGCCCGGGCTGGAACCACAGTGAGGTCTCCTCCAGCAGGATCGCACTGAGACCTCCACCCCCAGCATCACGGCCTTCTAGCATCAGGGCCACCTGGCACCAGGCCCCCCAGCATTAGGGTCCCCTAGCATCAGGGTCCCCGGACACCAGGGCTTCCTGGCACCAGGCTCCACTGTCCCAGGCTCCATCTCCCTTTATCTACTTAGAGCCTGCTCAGAAGCCACCCAGGACACATCCCAGCAGCCCCTTGTGTTGGCAAGAAAGCCACGGCCCCAAGATTCCCAGAGCCCAGCCTGGATGGTTGTTGGCGACCCTCTGATGCCAAGATTGGCCGCCTGCTCCAGGAAGCCCTAGGAAGGGGCCTTGGGGGACAGACAGCTGACACTGTGCTTTATACTTTGGGCTTCTCCCTTCTGGCTTCTACTGCTAGAAAACACTTGAAAGTCCAAGGGGTCGCCCCTGCTCCTTCATTGTACACCTGGGGAAACTGAGGCCTGGAGGACTCGACTTGCCCCGAGTCACGCGGCAAGCAGGAACATAGGGCAGGCTATATCGGGGCTTCTGCCTTCCCCTCAGGCAGAGGGCCCTTCCCCGCTCCAGAGCCCCGCCGGCTCAGAGCAGACTGGGCCCCTCGGTGCCAGCCGTCTGCGGAGCCTGGGAACACTCAGAGTGTTTGGTTTGGCTTTGCGGCCACTTTGCCATGAGACACTTTTCCCAGCATGGGTCGGGGTGGGGGGGTGGGGGGGATCTGGACTGGGGGAATAAGCTTTGTGAGCAAGGGAGGTGGGGCATTTGGAGGGGCTTTCTGCCCCAGCCTGCCGCCTCCCCCCCTTTCCCTGGGACTCCTTCCAAGCAATAAACCCCACTCCACTCCGGCTCCAAGCGGGAAGAGGGGTGGTAGCATCTTTGGTTTTCAAAGTGTAAAAGCAAATGCCTTTGGGCATTTTGTGAGACAGTTTTCATAACTCCTGCTGGGTCTTCCTTCTATGGCCTGTGGAGCTGCTGTGGCCAGCCTGGGCCCTCACCGCCACTCCAGCACCCCACATGGCACCCTAGGCCCCTCTCCTGAGGCCAGCCCTCCTCACCTTCCTGCTGCTCAGTCTGGGAGGAACTTTTGTGGCCTTTTGTGTTGTATGCAGGGATGGGGGTCTTTTTCTTAGAAAAGAAAGGGAGGGAAGGGGTTGAGGCAGTGACCATGTTGGGCATGGGTTTTCGAGGTCTCAGCAGGAAGCAGCACGCTTCACCCCTGGGCCCTCCCTTCGCACACTTGCTCATCTACACAGTGAGATCGGCACCCAGGCCGGGTCAGGCTGGACAGCAGACTTCCCAGGACACATCTGTGTCCTAACCTACTTCCGGCTCAGTTTCCGCATCTTGGAAATGGGGGTGATAACAGAGGCACACGCCCAGCATCCAGCACAGTGTCTACCAGCACATGGGAAGTGCTCTGTGAATGGAGGATGTTTTTTTTTTTTAAATATATATTTTACTGATTTTTTTACAGAGAGGAAGGGAGAGGGATAGAGAGTTAGAAACATCGACCAGCTGCCTCCTGCACTCGCCCTACTGGGGATGTGCCTGCAACCAAGGTACATGCCCTTGGCCGGAATCGAACCTGGGACCCTTGAGTCCGCAGGCCGACACTCTATCCACTGAGCCAAACCGGTTAGGGCTGGAGGATGTTATTAGTAGGGGAGACGCATGCAAGCATATTAATAATGATGACAAAAATAGCCAACACCATGTAGCACCATGTGCCTGGCATCATTCAAAGCTCTTTACAGAAACCCATTCAAACCTTGCGTGCCCAGTCGGTGCCCGTGACATAATGTGATCAGTGAGAAATGTACAAGATTTTACAGGAGCCTGAATGCTCCCGGGGGCATTGAGGTGCAGGACGAAGAGGCTCCTAGGCGAGGGGACATGGAGTCTGCATTCGAAGGGGAGTAGGAAACTGGCCACAGACCATTAGATGTGACTGGAGAGGCTTGGTGTGTGCTGGGAGGTGAGGCCAGCTGGCCCCAGACCATGACCACTCTCGGATGGCCTGGGGCATGGGATGGGGGGCACAGCAGGCCAGATGTTGTGAGTTATAAGGGGCACTCAAAGCGCATGGTCTGCCCCCTCCCTCCTGTTCCAGGAGCACGTCCCTCTGCCCCCTGTGCATGGTGAGAGTGTGCTCCCTCCTCTCCTGAGAAGAACCTCCTGCGAGGACCTGGTCGTTGAGGTCGGAGCGTGGCCAATGGCAGAGTAGAAAGGGAGGGACCGGGCCGAGAGTAAAGACTTTGCTTTGAGCAAAAGTCTAGACCCCATTCCCAGAGTAGAGATCCCAGCCAATGTAGGGGGCAGGGCTGTGCTTGGTGACCCCAGGCTGCCCCGCCCACCAGCCCCAGGCTGAGGCTGAGCCAGGCTGTGTCAGAGGCATCCAGCCGCAGGGCTGTGGGGCAGGGCTGTGGCAGCGACGTTCACAGATCTCATCCAGGTGACTATGGCTAACTGTTGGGACCTTGTACCCAGCACATGGAAACTCTGGCCAGGGTGGGGTGGGGGACTTCCAGGAGACCCCGGGAGTGAGCAGCCTGTCTGGGAGGGAGGGTGAGAAAGTGGAGCAGTGTCTCCTATGGAGGAGGCTACCCACAGAGAAAGAGCCCCATCCCTGCCTCTCAGAGAGGGGCAAGCTTCCTGCCCACCCCACACATCCTGTGTGCCCCCTGCCCTGCGTCCTAGAGCAAGTTACTTAACCACTTTGTGCCTTAGTTTCTTCATAAGGAAAATGGGATAATAGTTGTACCTGCCTCGTGGGGTTGCCATGAGAAGCTATATGCTAAGTGCTTCACACAGAGCTGGCATGGGCCTCTCCATTCTGCTGGGAGCCCCCTCGGCCGTGTGCAGGCTGGACTTGCTGCTTTCATGGGTGACTGCAGAGTCTCCTTTTCAAGGAGGCCTGTGTCCCCACTGCCCCTGGGTGTTCCCTCACATCCTTGCCCCTCTGCTCTTTGGGGCTTGTTGGATCCTCTGCCTGCATGTCCATCTGCCTCCCCCAGCCCAGGGTCCACAGGGCGAGTGTGCCCATAGCTTCTAGGGCAGCCCTTTCCTTTATCCCTGAGCCTCCTCCTCCTATGTCCCCTCCCTTCCCCAGTCCCTGTCCCTCTATGAATAATTTTCTATCTCTTTCTAGGACTTGAACTGTGATGTGGCCCTGCACTCCGCCTGGCCCCCATCCTACCCTTCACTCCCCAATGGCACCAGTTCCTTCTGTCCTTAATCTCCTTTTCTCTCTGCCTCACTCTGTCTCCCTGTCTCTCTCCCTTCCTCTCTTTCACCTATGCTTTCTCGAGCCACGATCCTTAACCATTACCTCCAAAACAGGATTCTGTTTTTATAAGTTCACGAAGGACTGCGCCTTTCACTAAAACCCCCTGTGACTATGCTGACCCCAGGGCTCCTGCCCCGTGGAGGTGCTGCCTCCCCTTCCCCAGTGACCTGGTCACCGCATAGCCCCATGAGCCTCAGTTTTCTCATTTGGTGAAGGGGGTGATGCGAGCCACTGTGCAGGTTTGTTACGAGGACCATAGATACTCTCAATAAATGGCTGCTGGGATAAGGGGGTGGGGGAGGGGTGGTTTGTGTGTTTTGTGGGAGGGCAATAGGAGGGCGGGGCATCTGTATACACAGGTGTGGAGGCTGATGGCCCCACTATGACCCCAGAGACACTTTCATTACACTTTAATTCTCCATAGCACTTTGATTCCCTCTGCCTGGGACTCAGTTCTCTTGAGTGGTCACACAAGCCCTGTGGCTCCCAGTGCCCAGCCCACCGACTCCCCCACCCCCCGGAGCCTGGCGCAGGAGGGTGAGTGCAGCCTCAGGAGCTCGGCCAGCCTGCTGTGTGGCTCTGGCTGCTCACTGTCCCTGTCTGAGCCCCCTGTTTTCTCCTTCATTTTATGAAGTCAGATCTGAACCTCAGGGCCACAGCCCGGGACGAGGCTGCTGAGCGGTCACTCAGAGTTCCATGTGTCTTCTCCTTCCAGCACCACCGCCTCGCCACCCCCGCTGCCCCTCCAGCCCACGCACAGCTCCAGCTCCGGGACCGCCAGGCCCCTCTTCCAGCTCTCCAACCAGCTCCGGCCGCAGGAAGAGCCGGGGTCTGCCAGCGGCTCAGTGCCCGCCCACTCACAGCCGGCCCTGGGCCTCCTCCCGGCCGTCGTCGCTGCCAGCTTTGCAGCCCCCTTCCTGCTGCACACCCTCGGGCCCTCCTGACCTCGGCTGCCAGGGCAGAGAAGCCAGAGAAACCGTAGGAGGGTCTGTGGCCGCACCCCTCTGCCCCTGCCACCCTCCTCCCAGGGGTGCCTGACACCTCACGGGCGGTCCAGTCGGGATCCGTTAGAACCCTAGAGCTTTATTGTTACCCGAGTTACATCTTCTTTTTTGTAGAAGGATCTTAATTTCCCATAGTGCTATGGGGCTCCTTTGTAAAATATGTGTCCATATTAAAAAAGAAAAGTGTATTTATTCCACTGATAAAACTATTTTTATGTGGCCTATATCAGTAACCCCTTAATGAGCCCCAGCGCCAACCCAGGCGGGGAAGCCAGGCTGTCAGGACATCTGTGACCTCATGCGGACCGTGGCTGTGCACTGCCGGCTCCTGGACCACGGAAGCCTCCCGTGTCTGGGTCTGGCTTCTCCCACCGAGGGGACCTCAGAGGGAGGGGCAGGCAGACAAGCTTAGCTTTTGTGAAGCTGGATTTGGGAGCCAGAGATGTGAACGCTGATGGTCCTTCCCTCCCGTGGATGCATCTGGGGCTTGGAAGACACTTTCGGAAAGAGAATGCTGCTATTTTGTAAACCCTGGGTGTCTGTGAACGGGCCTGCGGAGCTCTTGGTAAGTGTTCTGGCCAAGGCCCTGGGTAGAGGAAGAAGGTTGGTGCTGAGGGAGGTGGTTTCCCAGGCCCATGCGCCTGATGGTGAAACTAAGAGAGGAAACTGGTTGCCCAAGGTCATTCAGCAAGTGGGAGATCGGTATGTGAATCCAGACCTCTCTGCTCTGATAGCATTAATCCAGCGTGGGTTACAGGAGATGCTACTGAAGTCACAGCCAAATGGAATGAGCTGCCGCAGGGCAGGAGTCGGCACAGAGGGCAGTTTCAGGAACAGGGGCTCTGGGAGTCACATGGTAATACTAATTGTAACGAGAGCCACCATTTGTCCAAAGCCTACCATGTGGCAGGCACTTTGCACACTCACTTTTATCACTGATCCTCACACCAGTTCTATGAGATACAACTATCCCCATTTCACAGATGAGGAAACTGAGCCCCCAAAAGAGGTCAAGGGACTTGCTCAAGGTCACCCAGCCAGGACATGGCCCCAAAGTAATGAGATGGAAAAGTGATGCTTATCTCCTGGATCAGATTCTGCCACGTTGTCTCTACACAGGGAAGCTCCAAGGGCCAGCACAAGCTTCTTACTTGGCCAAAGAGCCTGTTTGGCCCCAGTTACTCATGTTGGTCACTCTTGCCAAAGGGCTCTTTGTGTGTGCCACATGTCCCGGGCCCAGACTTGTCTTATTCTGAAGCCAATGAGAGGTTTTCCTGCCAAATCAGAGGCTAGGGAATGGGGGACAGCTGTGGGAAGCGTGGGGAGACAGGCAGCCAGTCAAATGGGGACAGTCAGGCCACTACGACTCAGAGAGACAGACCTAGATCCTCTGCCCCCAGGCGGTGGCCGAACAGGCAGAAGACCCTGTCTGGCTGCCTTCCAGTCCTAGACCCTCATAGGGCTGGCAGCTCATCAGTTACAGGGCCCTGGCACCGGAGAGCAGAAAGAACCCCTCATCTGACCTATAACTGTAAGAGTAGTAATCAGGCCGGGGAGGGGGCATTCCCCAAAAACTGCACAGCTGGGTATTTGCTGAATCCCAGACCAGTGCTCTCCAGCGTCACTGCACCAGGCCTTTCCCTGGCAGTCCTGGTAGTGACTGACTCACCCCAGTCCCCGCAGGGCAGCTGTCTCCCTTCTGAAGTAGTAGAGTCCAGGGCAGCTCATTGGATGGTCAGAGGTCCCACCGGCATCTTGGCAGGCCTCTGAATTCTTTTCCGCTCAGCCCTGGATGGATGTGTTTGAGCCTGAGACCTGGCAGGAGCCCTGAGCTCCACTTCAGAGGGTCCAGCCAGCCCCATGGGCATCATGCTGTAAACTGAACTTGACCCCAGCCAGGGTTTATCCTTGGCAGAAATGTGACTTCCTATTTCTGAGCGGGAAGGGGCTTAGCTGAGTTATAAAGCAGGCTCAGAGGCCTGGGGGACATCAAACACTTCGTGCGGAGCACTATTTGGATGAGATAAGTGTAAAGGAATTAGAAACACACAGGCCAGATTTCCCTCTGCTCGGGGCAGAGTGTGGCATGCGATGTATTGAGATGGAACTTGAGGTTAATTAAAGATGAAGCATTTGGGTAAACAGTCCAGGCACCTGACCGCGTGCCCAGATCTGTGCCAGGCATGGGGCCAGAGGTAAATTAATGCAGTGTGTGATTATCAAGCACACGCAGTGCCAGTCTCCATGTCGGGCCCGAATCTTGCCACCTTCCCGACCTAGAGGAACTCAGCATTGAGAGGGACACGCAGCACAGTCCTGGGCTCCTAAAGGAACTTCAAGGTTATCCTATCCAGTCCCCTAACCAGGCAGATTCAGCCCTAGTCTTCCCCAGACCCCTCCTTGGTGCAGTTTTGGGGGATTCCAAGCTCTCCCTCAGATAAGCACTCAAGCGTTTAAAGGAAGATGGATGTGCTAACTGGTTAGGTGGACGTGTGCCGCCCGGACAGAGCCAGCGTGGGTCAGACATCTGCAGCCGAAGCGCGCTGATCTCTGAGGACCACCCACTGGCCAGGGTCTGAAGTGAACTGAGCTTGCTGTTTATATCCCAGAAGGCCTGAGGCACATTTATGGAAATTGAATGGCTGGGGTGCGTGAATTCTCTCATTCTGGGCCGGAGAGCCTTCATTCCATCGGCAGCCAATCACACACTTGGAAATGATCTACCCACCACTGCTGACATTTTTCCCAGCATGTGCTATGTGCTCAGCCTCATAAAATGTCCCCGTTGTTCTGCGAGCCTCGCGTACACTTCTTAGGGCTTTCACATTGGCCTTGAGGCAGGCAGAGAAGATGGACGGGCTGAGACCCAGCAGGTTACGTGACCTGCCTAAGGTTAGGCAACAAGTTAGTGGGGGCCCAGATCCCCTTGCTCTCAGGAAACCTGACTGAATGACCCCGGAGTTTTCTGGGACTGGTCAGCATAGCCATGCTTCTAGCCTTCTTCCAGGCTGGGTGCCACCCCACAGCCAGATGTAGGCCTGGACTGAAGGTGCATGAGCCAGGCTGCCAGGAGCTGCACAAGGCCATCGAGGGCCCCTCCACCTCTGAGATTCAAAGATCTGGTGTCCAGGCAGCACGGACACCTGTACTTACCAGCAAGGTCACCTTTGCTCTGAAAGACCATTAGTCGAATGCTCCATCTTCTATTTCTTGGTCTCAGCCAGACTTGGGAAAACCTAGAGGCTCAGGGTTCTGTCCTACCTGCCCAGCCTTCAGTCTGGTGCCATTGACAACAGATCCCAAGGAAAGGTCCCCCACCACAGGAAAGCTTATGATAAACACCGTGAAGGATAAGAGACATTCTGCCTGGGAATGGCAGCTTTGATAGTTTGTGTGCAGAGAACAGAACTGGAGCTGGCGATAGTGTTTCCATGGCCGTGGGATAAGAACCAAATCCTCAACCTGGCATTCTAGACTCTCCATGATCTGGTCCTGCTGACCTTGCCAGCTGCATCTCTCATCTTTCCCACTCTGTGCCTGACCAGACTGAACCATATTTGTCATTTCTAGGATAGATAGGACGTTTCACACATGCTGCTTGCTAGGCCTGGGAACTCCCTTCTCTTACTCTAACTGCTCATTTTTTGAGGATCAACTCAGATGACACCTCCTCCAAGAAGCCCCCCGTGATTCCTTTGTGCTGAGACTGTCTAATTGCACGTGTGCTCTCTTATTGGATTGTGGGCTCCACGGTGGCAAGAGTCATGTGAACTCATATCTGTATCTTCATCTGACACAAAGATGGCACTCAACAGCTGTGCAGAAAGGGAAGGAGAGAGAAAGAAATGAAGGAAGGAAAGAAGGAGAGAGGCCGATGTTAGCTTTGCTAGTGGAATAGTTTCTACAAAGCCAAAATTGTGTGAGAATGGACAGGTGCCCCTGCAGGTGAGTCTCTGTCAGGAGAGGTGTGTGAGCAGGGGCTGTAGGCACCCTGGCTGGAGAGATATGGCAGAGATTTAAAGTCTTGGCCAGGGACTGAGGCAGATGACATCGAGAGTCCCTCCTGGCTCTGTTATGCTCAGGTTCTTTGAACATTGTGAATTTTCCAAAACTTCATCTCAGCAGCCAGAAAAATCACCCGGCTGGCTGTCTAAACCAATAAGGTTCAGGAATCAGTCCAGCCGCGCACCACAGTTCTCCAAGAGCCCAGCCAGCCTGACGGAATTGGCAGGCTCGGCCAGCTGCCCTGGGGCAGGGGGACTTCTGGGCCATGGGGGAGGGCTGGACTGGAACCCAGGACCCTGGCTCCAGCCCGGAGCTGATTGTCTCCCTGCCCCCACCCTTGGGGAGGGAAGGACGGGGTCATGAGAGCCCACTGAGCCTCACCTGGCCCTGGCCCAGGAGCATCAGCTTCCCCCACCCTTTCTCTGACTGTGGCACTTCCTTCCCGGAGATACTCTGGAGAGTCCTCACTTTGCTGGTGACCTTGGGCAAGTCCCTGCCCCTCTCTGAGCATCCATTTCCTCATCTGTCGAACAGAGACCTTGTTTCCTGCCTGGGGTATTCTGGAGGGGTGGGCAGATGCTGTGTGCAATCTTGGGGCTCCAAGAAGGCCAGACGCCACTCCTCCCCAGGATCAATGCTGGGCTCTCCTCCCAGGACCCGCAGTCCGCTATGGGCTTGGGAGCGCAGCGGGAAGGAGAGGTGGCAGAGTAGCTTCAAAGGGTCGCTCCATCATGAGTCCCACGAGGGGGAAAGTGCGCTTTGAATGGGGCCTCAGTCTAAGGAGTTTCCGGTGGGGCTTTTAGGCATCTTGGGTCCCCATAGCTGGGGTGGCAGGGCCTAGCTCTTGGCCAAGGGAGAGTCTAGCCCAAAACAGAGGCAGCCAGAGCCCCAGCCCTGGGCCTCAGAGGGATCGCAGAAGGTCCCCACCGGACTCGCACTGTGTGACACACGCTTCAGACCTTAATGTATTTGAAAGTATCCGTGATGCTGTTCTTTCGATCACCTCTCCCCTGCACCTCTGTGAATTATGAAGAGTTCTTTAAGAATATAATAGAAGACAAAGAAAGATGCTATTAATGTTATTTTGCCAAAAATATTTTTGTAGCATAATATATTAATAAAAGACATTATGAATTCAGCAGGATGTGTCTCTGTGTGCTGACGGATCCCTCCTCCTGCCAGAGAACATTGGGGGAAATTGCCTTTGTTGGGAGGGCCAAGGCCTGAGGCAGCAGCCTGGAGGGAGTGGGATGGGCCCATTTTCCATGCTGAACTCAGGCCGGTTCTGGGAGGGTGGTTTGGGCAGCGGTCCAATGGCTCAAGAGGCCTCATGCCAAGGGGGTCCAGCTAGCCTCTCCAGCAAAAATGAGCTGCCCACAGACCTCAAACCTGAGGTTCACCCTCGGGGCCTCCCTTTCTCTCCCTCACTCTCCAAGACCTACTGATGCTTCGTTATTCATCCTTTCTCCTCTCCCCATCCCATTGCTCCAGCCCAGACCTCCTCACCTTCCTCTGAGCCACTACTGCCACCCACAGCTGTGTCCCCTCCGGCCCACTCTCCCCTCTGCAGCCTGAGTGAGCTCTCTAAACCACAAAATGACCGCGTACCTTCCCTGCTTTTAACACAGTCATGAGGGGGCACCAGCATCTCTGAGAAGCCCAGCGATGGGCCCTCCATGGGACTTGTGGGGAGAGAGGCAGGTCACTGTGAGGTTGGTGGGGAGAAGTGTCTGCTTCTGGAACCCCAGAGCCTTCACCAGAGGCGGGTCACTGGCCGTGCTTAGTGAGCTCTTGCTGGCTCCTACTAAGAGCATGTGGGCTGCGTGTGGGGGGCCCACCCCTCAGATAAGCTAATAATGAACACTTATTGAACATTTATTATGTACCAGACAATGTTCTAAGCATTTGTAAGTCTTCAATCGTTTCATCCTCACACCTACTCTTGCTATCCCCATCTTACAGATGAAGTAACCAAGACACCGGGAGGCTCAGTAACTTGACCAGATCACACAGCTTGTAAATGCTGGAGCCAAGGTTGGAATCTAAGCTCCAAACCAATTCTCTTAACTTCAGCTCAGCGATGCTGTGCTGTCCCATATGGGCTGTGGCCGGTGAGAGCGAGAAGGCATCCCCATTCCCTTTCACGGGGAGAGAGCAGCAAACATCAATCGGTTATCTCCCAAACTTGCTCTGACCAGAGAGCAAGCCCGCAACCTAGATATGTGCCCTGACTGGAAGGGAACCTGCAACCTTTTGGAGTATGAGATGATGCTCCAACCAACTGAGCCACTCGGCCAGGGCTGAGGGAATGTTCATGGCCAAGTTCACATGGTGTGAGGCAGAGGTGTCAAGTTCAATGACAGACAAGATCACAAGAGTGTAAGTCCTAGGGCATCAGGAGCTCTGGGAGGACTTGGCCCCCCAGCCCCGTAGCTAGGTGTCTGAGATGATCTCAGTCAAGTCCGCTGGAGCAGCATGCCCTGGCCGTCTGAGCTGCAGGTGGGCAGAGAGACGCCAATACCCGCTGGCCTTGGGCTTCCTTGAGGTAAGGGACCCAGGAGCTCCAGAGCTCAGAGTCTGCAGGAAGCCCTCCCACCTCGTCATTACCTTCCAGGGCCGCCCCAGCCGAGGAAACACCCAGGCCTGATGAGGGGCAGGATCCGGGCTGTGGCAGGCTGGGTGGGGTGAGGGTGGGGGGCCTCCAGCTGCTGCTGTTGGCAGCCAGCAAGCCAGCCAGACAGGGCTGGCCACTGTTACAGCATCATAAAAAAAGAAATTATTTTCAGAAAATATTCATAATATCCTGTTTTATGTCAGTTCTGGGCTTGCAAAACACTTCCTGTGTTTTCTTTTTTTGTATTTCCCATTTCTTCCTCCCCATCAGTCACGAAAGAGGAGTGATAAAGCTTCCAACCTGAAGACACAAGCCCCCAGGCAAGGACTGGAGCCTCCCAGGGGTCCCTGCTCCTTCTCACCACCTCCACCGCCCTGAGCCTCTGGAAGGGTGGGCGGGGCTGAGCAGGAAGGCGGCAGAGGGCTTGGGGAAAGGGGTGCAGGAGGCAATAGAGGGGAGAGAAGGAAAATACACAGCAAGCTGGAGGGGGGATCCAGAGAAGGCGAGAGGGATCAACACAGAGATAGACAAAGGCAGGTGGAGAGACAGGCAGAGACTTTCTGGAGAGAAGTAAAGAGAAGAATGAATGAGAGTAGTGGGAAGAGGCCTAAGTGGAGAGAAAGAAAAACACAGAGCAGAGAGTCAGGACCAAGGGGAGTGAGAACACAGCGGTGTCTGTGCAGAGCAGGGACCCGGCATGGATTCACTGAGCAGGTTATGGCCTGGGATGAGCGGCCAAGATGGATGGGCCTCTAGTCCAGTGATGGCGAACCTATGACACGCGTGTCAGAGGTGACACGCGAACTCATTTTTTTGGTTGATTTTTCTTTGTTAAATGGCATTTAAATATATAAAATAAATATCAAAAATATAAATCTTTGTTTTGCTATGGTTGCAAATATCAAAACATTTCTATATGTGACACGGCACCAGAGTTAAGTTAGGGTTTTTCAAAATGCTGACACGCCGAGCTCAAGAGGTTCGCCATCACTGCTCTAGGGACAGGTCTGGGAGCAAGCAGTGTCCTCCTCCCAGGGGATCTTGAAAACATGAGCTGCTCCCCAGGCCTGCCTGGCTCCCCAGATTCAGTAGAGCAGCCCCTCCCCCTTCCTCCCCCACACTAAGGTTCTCCAGGCTCAGCCAGGTCAAAGGCAGGTGGTCAGGGGCCCTCAGCCTCATTTTCCTCATATTTTTAATGGGGATAATAAAAATACCTCCGCTGAGGTTGCAATAGGTTTGAATGAGATGGTGAACGTAAAATTCTTGGAAACCAAGACCCAACACACGTGTTGGTGGCTGCAGCCACGTGCTGGAGGCCTGCGAGTGTTTCAGCACGGTGAGGCGATGCGGCTGGAGTAGAGGGCAGCGGCAGGCCTGGACCCCTTCGCTGTGCGCATGCAGAAGTTGGTACCTTAGCAGGAAGGCAATGGGAGCCCCTGAGGTCAACTAGGTGACCCTGAGCACGTCACTCACGTTCTCTGTTCCTCCGTCGCCCTGGGATTACGTGAAGTGCCCCATGCTTGGTGCTGAGAGCGCCGTCTGCAGCGCAGAGGTCAGACCGTGCTGGCGCTATGGTATCTGATGGGCCGACTTCTCAAATCACCCTGGCTGCCCCATGCAGGAGAGTTAAGGTGCACCCTGGACTAGGGCAGGAAGGGAGGAGGTGCCGAGGAATGGTGAGGCTGGCTCCGGGGGCTTATTTTCACACTTTGGAGCCTGTGCTGAGAGGCTGGAGTAGGGGAGATGTGCCCACTGTCACAGGGATCTGAGCAGTGTGTGCCCGGGCACCTGACTGAGGAGGCCTCACTGACTGTGACCTGGAAGGTGTGGGGAAGGTGGCAGGGGAGGCCGGCTCGGCAGTGGGCCAGAGTTACGTGTGAGGGCTGTGGCCTACCCACGGAGGCACACGGATGTTGCCCTGCGGGCTGCAGGGAGCACAGGCAGCTTTAGGACGGAGTGTAAAGGCCTGATGTGCGAGCCCAGTGCCTTCCTCCCGCTGAGTCTCTGTTCCCACCAGCAAACGGGGAGAGGATGCCCGACCCACGGAACACCGTGAGGACGTAGGGGGAAGAGGGTGGGCCTGTGCTCTGCGGACCCTGAGTGCCCCGAGGTCTCTGCACGGTGATGAGGATGATGAAGATGAAGAGGCCCAGCTCCCTGCCGCCCTGGTCCCAGCGACGACACGTGAAGTCACATGGTCCCAGGACTTTCCTGTGATGACGGTTGGGAGTGGGCGGGCATGGGCAGCACCACTGGGAGTTCTGCTTCCCACCCCCTTGGGGCGCCCACCTGAGCCAGACCCACAGCCTCCCTCCCCCTCCCCCTCAGCAGGAGTTGGGACTTAGCTGCCCTCAGCGGGTAGTGCTGCTCAGGCTGCGACCTCAGGCTCCCAACAGGTGACTGGAAGGGGAGAGAGGCTTGATGTGGGAGCTGGAGAGGCTCCGCCCCTCATGGAACAGATAGGGGACCATCAAGGGGAAACTGTGCCCAGGCATCTTGGCACCTGTCAGGAGAGGCAGAGCCCTGGGTTCCTGACTCACAGGCGCATCTTCTGGCCTCATCTCACCTGGTACAGGGCGATGGACCAGAGTCCAGTTCACCTCAGCTTCCAAAACCCTCCTCAAACCTGAGCGGGCAGGGGGCCAAGCCCTATGTTCAGAGCCGGGCATGTGTAGATTTGTTCAAAAAAATTCATTTATTCAACAGAAAATTACTGTGCCCTACACTGCGCTCCCAACTAGAGAACTGAACCCTCCCCTTTCCTCCCCAAGCCTGCTGCTTCGTGGGAGGCGGGCAGCAGTACAGTGTGCGGGTCAGTGTGAGGGTCCGGGCCTTCCTCCAGGAGTGGGAGTTGATAGGAAAGCACACTTGCCTCCTCCTTCCCTTCCCTCCCCTTGGCCCCACTGCCTAGGCCTCTGCAGTCCACCTGGCCCATCTCTCCAGCCACCTGTCTCCTTCAACCTCCCAAAACTCATGCTCCAGCCACATAGAGCTGTGGGGGAGGGGGGGTTAGCTTTCATACATTTGTTGGGCAGGGGGCATGATCCTGGGTGAAGGATGCAAAGAGTCCCACACAGAGAATAAGCCTCCATCCTGCCTGCACAATTTTTGTATGTCCCTATACCGGCCCCCAATTCACTGACTCCAATTATCAATCCCCACTATCCCCTCCAGAGCCAAGTTCCCCTTCTCCCTATTTTTACCTGAAAATCCTCTTTCTGTTCTCCAAGGCCTAGTTTAACTCTGCCTCCTCGTAGAAGCTGCCCTGGTCCCCCAGCCTCACACTCTGCACCTTTTCTGAAGAGCAGGCCACACTTCATGTGTATGTTGCCTTAGATTATGGTTTCCTTACGTCTTGTGTGTGTGACGTGCTGTTGAGTTGGTTCTGACTCCTGGCGAGCCTGTGAATGAGTGATGCCCACAGTGTCCCGTCCTCAGCAGCCCCGCCCTGTAGACTCAGGCCTATGGCCTCTTCTGTAGGGTCTGTCCATCTCGTATTTGGTCCTCCTCTTCCCCTGCTGCCTC